GTCCTTAATTCTTTGTTTCACTAATTTTTTACCTGTTCCATTCCACATATCAGAAGCATCTGAGGGGAAAGGCCAATCCTGACAAGGTAGCTTTGAACCACTTTGCACCAGTTTGATTGAAAATTATCAATGTAAATCAGAGGGAGTAGACCTTGTGGGCTAAGCTGTCCCTTTAGCCATGTGTAGATAGATAGGATACTAACCCATGACTCGACTTTTAAAACATCCTGTCTCTAATCTTACCGTAGCATTTGATACACATTTGGGGGCCTGTAGGGTAGTTCTTTAAAATGTAGATTGAACTCTTTCTTGAGGGTTAAAATGTGAGCTGGGTGGCCCCCAAAATGAGCCATATAACAATTGTGCCAGCGTCTTAGCTTTATATAATTTCAGAGTGGCGGGAACATATGATCCCCCCCTGTGAATGATGGAATTTTACAATACCATTTGCAGATCTTTCACCTTGCTCCGCAGCATAATTGCTGTGTTGGAATCTAGAGCATGTTGCCTGTAGAACCACCCTGAGATATTTAAAGTTTGTCACCTGCTCAATATGCTGGCCATTGATCATCCAAGTCCGATTCCTCTGTCTAGGCCCAAAAGCAACAATCTTGATTGTTAATTATAAGAGATTCTACTTTACAGTATGAGGAGAGCTTTCTGAGGGCTCTCCTTAACCCTACAGGTGTTCTGGAGAGTAGCACCATGTTGTCTGCATATAACAGCACTGAACTCATTCTGTTGGCGAGGCTAGGGGGATGAAGTTCAGAAGAGCTGAGCCATCTGGGTAGGTTATTTATATAATAAATAAATAGGGCCGGTGCTAGGAGACAGCCTTGCCTGACCCCTCTAAAGGTTTGGATAGGTTCGATAAGATGTCCTTGTCTACTGCATCTGACCCTCATAAAAGTTTGTTAAGGCCAATTGTAAGGTCAATTGATGAATTTGATAATTTATCCTACAATCGCTCTCTGAATATAGAATAGAAAGTTTATCGAGACATTGATAGGATCCAGACTCTTAATGTTTCTGTAATAGAACTGGGGGAAAGCCCGCGAAGCAAGCAATTATACCTAAATCAAGCAAGACCCTAATGGCCCCGAGGCCAATCATACCTAAGCTGGAGTCTCACTGAAATAACGGCCCATAGTTCCCAGGGGAAAGATGATGCCAGGCTTGTCTGGGCCGAATAAGATAACGAAGCAAAAGCGAAGTGGCCAAAAGCGGAAGTAGACATTCTCCCCACTTCCCTACGTCCCCATGGCAACCAAGCTGGAGAAAGGGGGCAAAGTTGACAAGAGGCTCCAGGGAAACATTAATAGGGGGCTTCCCATGGAGTGCCTCATGTTTTTTTTTTAAGTCTCCATAGTAAATAGAGGTTGCTCTTCTGAAATTTGTTTAGTGACAGGGTTTTGGCAGGGTTTTTTCCCCTCCCTGACCTGGATGGTCCAGACTAGCCCGACCTCTTCAGATCTTGGACACCAAGCAGGGTTGGCCCTGGTTAGTATTTGGAAGGGAGACCACCAAGGAATACCAGAGGCTCTCCATGCAGAGTCAGGCCATGGCAAACCACCTCTGAATTGAGCCTTGAAAGCCCCACAGGGTCTCCATAAATCAGCTGGGACCAAAGGGCAGGGAAAAAGGGACATTATTTTTAGTGTTGTGCTAACTCCCAAGGAGGGGGCTATGTTATTGTACACCCCCCCCCATACTCTCAATAATCCTGTGAGTCAGGTTAGGGTCGTCCAAGCTGAGCTTCAATCTAACCCGGCCCCCACAATCCCACATAGGGTCCATTAATAATGGACCATTACCCTAGGCCAGCTTCTTCCCCCGGGTTTCTGCGATGTCAATGGCCGAGTGGGAAAAGAATGCATCTCGGTCCCGCTCACACCTGTTCCTCCACATCCTGCAGGTAGCCTGGTAGTTTCTGAACTGAAAAGGCAGCCCCCGCTGCACAGTCCAAGGGCCTCTCCCCCACGCAGTGGACTGACCCCCATCATCAGGGAGCCGCATTACGTGACCTGCCCGGCTTGGGCTTCTGAGACTGCCGCCTTATCCCCTGACAGGATTGGGCTGCACCGCAGGGTTGCCAGTTCTGGGCTGGGACCAGTGTTCCCTCTGAGCTGACTTCGTGTGAGCCAGCTCACAGTTTTTTAGCCTCCAGCTCACACATTTTTGTCTTCGCTCAGGAAGGATGGCTCCAGAGCAAACTAATTTATGCCGTAGCCGAATCGCTCGCTCACACCTTTAATGCCAGTAGCTCACAAAGGAGAATTTTTGCTCACAAAACTCCACAGCTTAGAGGGAGGATTGGTTGGGGCATACCTGGAGATTTGGGGGGTGGGTGGAGCGGAGCCTGAGAAGGGCGGGGTTTGGGGAGGGGAGAGACTTCAATGGGTGTCTAAGGCCATAAAGTCCACCTTCCAAAGTGGCCATTTTCTCCAGGAGAACTGATCGCTAATAACAGAGATCTATAGCCACACCACCGGGTTTGCTCTGTCATTGGCACCTTCTTATACCGACATTCCACTGCTGCAGATGGGAAAACATTGCACCTGGCCATAGAAAAAGCCTTACAATAAGAGGCAATAATTTTCTAGAAGTGATAGTTAAGTTGCTGGAGTAAGGATGAAATGTTATTTGAAATCAGGGCTATTTTGGGGCAGGAACGCACAGGAAGGAGTTCCGGCTGGCTCCTGAGTTGGCCACACCCAGCAGGAGCTCATTAGCATAACAGGCCACACCCAACAGCAGAAACTCATTGGAATTGGCTACATTAGGGGTGTGTGGGCTAACATGCAAAGGAGTTCCTGCTACAAAAAAACCCCCTGGGTTTTGACAACAAACAAGGTAAACAGAATAAGAAGCAAAAAGGTGGGTATGGCTAGATGACCACACTTCTGGTAACATGGGGTTATGGCCTAATATGCTAATGAGCTGTACTATAAGGGGTGTTGCCTAATATGCTAATGAGTTTCTGCTGTTGGGTATGGCTTAT